GTGTTCAAGTCCCCCAGGTCCTCAGGTGGTGGGTCCCAGAGGTCTGCTCTAATAACGCCCTCCACACCATGATTCTCAGTGAGAGCTGATTAGCTTGAATTTGTGTTGTCTGCCCAGGGAAGGTTTCTGTCACTTAGAGCTACCCACGAAGTGTGGTCTAACAGTATGGGCTGGGAGGAAGTGCTCAGAAGCCATCTCATGACTTCTCCAAAAAACACACAGTTCAGAACAGTTGGATATGTCCATGGGTTCATCTTCCTTCATTCAGGTTATAAAAGACCAGACAGAAATGACAGATTCTCTCAGTTCTCTGTAGACACAGCCTGAATCACCATGGAAAATTGTTTCACCTTTCTGCGGTTTGGTCTTCCCCACCATTAATTCAAAGTCTGGAGAGCAATTTCATACAAATAAAAATAATTATCTGAGCTCTCTCCAATATAAGAGAGTATGAAAACTAGCTTTAAGCTCTCTTCAATTCTTTAGGGATGAGCTAAAGCAAAAACACCTTTTCTGACAAATAATAAATGTAGTTAAGTCCAGCCAAACAGCCTGACATCTTAAATATTATTAATGGTTGATTGAAGATAATCAATTTATATTACTGTATTTACTACTTAATAAGTATTATGGTTATAAAAATGAAAATAAAACGTAAAAGAATTACACATCACACATCATCTCAAGATGTAAATCCCTCTTCCATTTCTTTTCTGTATAAAATATATAGTTCTATCATTGCAATTATAGTTTATATTCTACTTTATGATTGCATTATTTTCATAAGATTCCTTTGATGTTGCTACACATTTTAAGTAAATGTCATTTTCAAAGGATTGATACTCCATGGGATGAACTTAACAAAATTTAATTTCCTATTTCCCTATAGCTAGGCATTTGTTTTCACCCCTTTTTGTGCAGAGAACTGGATCATATGATCTTGTGGCATATTTTTCTTATGATTCCTAACACTAGAACAGCTCAAGAATATAGTCCATGACTCAAAATACAAGCCCACTCTTGGAGACAGTTAATAAGCATCGTTGGGTACACAAAGAGTAAGATCATATAGGCAGAGCAGAAATACCAGGGAGAAAGAAGTACAAAGCCGTAAACAGAGATTTCCCTGACTTTAGTCATCAACCAGATTTACACATAAAGTATGTACAGGTGGGTTATTCAGGGGTATTATTCAGTGGGTAGAGAGCACATGCATGAAGGCTGTTAATGATTTTTATCTCACTAACTGTTCTTGGATCTCAAGTTAGTTCACGATGATGGAGTAAGTCCTTAGCTGAAGCTAAGGATAGAAGAACCACAATAAAGTAAGAAGAAAAATGAGGGAATAGAGAAAGCATAGCAAAGAAAAATGAGGTCATATAGAAAGCATAGCAAAAAAAAAAAAAAAAACTATGGTAATGCCCATAGCCCTTTAAGTATAAAGGAAAATTTGACAATAAGTCTGAACAAAAAGGTCATGCACTTTTGGAAAATAAACTCATTTCATTTCCCACTTAAAATCCATGGTGACATCAGTGTGCATAGATACCTCAATTGCTGGCTATACCTTCTCTAATAGAATAGTAGAGCACTGGTCTATGAACCACAGAAAGTAGCCTGGTGAGGCCTATGGTGAAGAGAAAGGATTCTTTCTCCAGGGACTTCCGCTTACGCACCCTCCAGGACTATTTGTCCACTTGGAACCTTGGAACAGGCAAGATCTCAATATAAAAATGTTAAAAGACAAATGCAGTGGTTTCTATTAGATTTCATAAGATCAAAAGTAGAATGTTCCACAAGTAACTTCCAACTCTAGGAGCCAAAAGACAAACATTGCATCAGGTTATGATCAGTGGTAAATAAATATATTTTGAATGAATAAAAACAAGAATGAATGAAAATTCTTCATCAACAAAATAGGTTTAGATCTGGTTAAAATATGAATAAAGTTGGCAGATGTGGGAGCCATTACTGATCCCAAACTCAGTGCTCCTGGGCAAGATACTTTTCTTTTGGAGTCTCAATTTCCATCTCTGCAAAATGGAAAAATAGCATTCACCTCACTCTGTTGTATTAATTGATTTTATAAACTCTGAGAGCACAACAATCTTATCTCTGAGAACTGTGTGTATTCAATATCAGCAGCAAACATTTGACTCTCTGATGCAAAATGGCCTAAAGAAAAAATGAAGTAATCAAGGAAAGGGATATTGGATGCAGACCATATTTTATAATCTTTTTTATACTATTCAGAGATAGAGTTTCATTTATTATTTGACCTGGGATCACATCCCAAGACAACCTTGAACACTAAGCTAGTTAATCTTCTGAATTTGTTTTTTCATCTGTAAAATAATGATCTATTATCATTTTCATTATATTAGTATGATGATAAATTGAGATAATGTATTAAGTGTTTAATACAAAATGGGAGATAAAGAAATATTAGTTTACTTCCCACTCTACTTTTAGAATTGAGGAATAAAAACCCATTAGGGCAATATGACCAAAAAAAGCTATAAATAAAATCAACCTCAGTAGATATTTTGAAGGAAGGGAAGATAGGAGGTAGGAAAAGAGATAGAAATATTGACAGGAGTGAGTGAGGGAGGGAAGAAAGGAGGGAGGGAGGGAGGGAGGATTTTTCTCCGCATCTCTAACTGCTGACTGGGGAGCGGTTTCCCCCAGACACAAAGATGACGCTATGTTGATCTAACCAATGGTATCTAAGCCTGCCAACAAATACCCTGTGTATATAGAGCTTTGAAACACTAAAGTGGGGGCCCTGGAGCCCCTGTAGACACTGAATTATGGCTGAGGAAGTATTCATGTGTTTTTCCATAGGAACCACCACTTGTCCAGAAACTATGGACTTTACCTCAGACTTTGACACTTGTGTTTATTTAGAATTCTTTTCAATCCTTATCATTTCCCCTTTCTGAAGCTACTTGGCCTGCACAGAAAAACTTAGGCAATACTTAGGAGCCAGCAAGGAGAAAAATCACTGGCTCTCAGTTTTGGAAAACATCCTGTCCAACTTCAGGGCCTCAGGTGACTGCACAGGTAAGGAAATTTCTCTCCTATTTGCATAGAATCCTAAAGGATGAGGAGCCACAGTCTTCTTCAATCAGCTATTTTAGAAGAAAACAACTTCTCTGCCAGGACTTCTCATTTTATATCCATTAATCATAGGGACTTTGTTAAAGTGCTAGTACAGGGGAAGTAAGAAGTCTGGTTAATTGCCCTCCATCTTCTTTTCTTCTTATGAAGAATTTTCTTTAGATGTTTCCATCTAGGTTTTATTTGAGCACAGTCTACAAATTACTTGCCTTGTAGTTAAAGTAGGTCTACTAACTGGCATTTCTACAATTAATCAATTGAGTTACACTGGCTTTTGGTGGCCATTTGCACACCAGTTTTGAAGAGGTGAGATTTTAGAGAGCTGTCAGAATGTTGTCAAAACAAAATGACATTGTACAATAAGTAGTGGCTTCTGGTCAGACTGGATTTGAGCCCTCCACTCTTGTATGTGCTATCTCTGAACCTTGGCTTTTTATTCTATAAAATGCAGATAATAATACCTATAGAACACATGCAATTAGCACACCCAGCACAGTCCCGGCACATAGCAAGCTAGTGGGTAAAAATATTAAAGCCATTTGTGTATCCAACTGAAATCCCAACACCATGTTAAGTCATGGAATGAAGAGATTCTTTCCTCTCCTGAACAGCTCACAGGTCAGACACCCTGGCACTGAATTCAGATTTTGCCCATGGCTACAGAACATCTGAGCCACATCCATGAGAGCCCACCACCACCCTTGTGTTATAAAAGAAAAATACCTGCCAGTGCTTCTATGTACATCTCACAAACCTAAATGCTCACCAGAAGAACTGGCTGTTTGTGCCAAGCTGTCCATTGCTTAGGAAACACCTGACTATGTTTGGATCCCTTAAGACCCAGGCTAAGGTTGTTTTGATGCGCTAAGTAGGTGTGAATTTTCACTACTTTAAAAGCATCTCCTTTATGAACTTCATGAGCTTTGGTCTTTCCCTTCACTTCTATCATGAGTTGTGTTAATTCAATTAATCATTCAACAACATAGTGCCAATCTTGGCACTATGGACATTTGGGGGCTGGTTAATGTTCTGTTCAGAGGATATCCTGTGAACTGTAAGATGTTTAGCAGAATCCCTGGCTTCTTCCCACTCTATACCATCCCTTCTTCTGAGTTATGACAACCAAAAATGTCTTCAGCCATTGACAAATGTCCTGGGGATGAGGAGGCAAAAATCACTCCTGGTTGACAATCTCTGTGCTAGAGTGGTTCTCAAACTTTAGCAAACATTGGACCAACTGGAGAGCTTGTTAAAACAGTTCTGAGCCACCACCCAGTGTTTCTGATTTGATAGGTCTGTGTGGGGCCTGAGAATATGCATTTTAAAGAATTGGCTAATGCTACTGATCTAGCGACCACATTCTGGTCTAAGGAGATCTGGGTGCAAAAGTTGGCATATCTGGTATTCCTCTGTCTGTGAAATCCCTATTCAGTGTTTCCAGATTTGCCTGCAGATTAGAATCACCTGGAAACCTAAGCCTTCCAAAGACCTGGCCATAACACAGACCAATTAAATGAGGCACATACATTAATAATTTTTGAAGCTCCTCAGATAATTCTGATGTGCAGATTTGGGGACCAAATAAAAATGCCATTACCTCATCTGGGATTTGAAGTTTGGGGGCTAAGTAACATGACATCCCAGCACACATATCCTGTAAGTCTCAAAAAACACAGTTACATCAGGAGCACTGATCTATGAAGAACTGCAACCTTAGTCTCTGTGGTAAGAAAATAGGGCAAATGCATTTGTGGATTAAGGAGTGCTAGGAACAGACCGCAGGTCACCCTATTTGCAGTAAAGGTGGATAAGGCATGCTGTGGAAAACAGAGCTCTAATGGGAAAATGGGAAACTTTCAGAGGTGCCTTGTTGTAAGGAGATGGATGTATGGCCTCAGCTTTCACAGCCTTCCATGTGGACTCCCCAAGGGAGTGTTTCAGTTTCTGAGCCACAAGCTGGAACCCTGAAAGGACAAGGAAGAAGGAGAAAAGTCAAGAGACTGAGCCTCCTGATGGAGACTGCACATTGGGACAATGTGAGGTGAGTGAGGGAAAGATGGGAGGTCAAGAGATAGGGAAGTAATTTAAAACCCTCACCCCCATTCATGCAGCCCCACATTTGACAATGGGCAATACCACAACTTCTGTCAAATTTTCCATCATTTAAAATCTCTGACAATCTGACAGTTGTTTAATTTTTGTTTTTTGTTTTTCAACACTATATTTCACCATAAATGAGATATCTTGAGTTGTAAAAATCAATGCTGAGCTTTATTTTTAAAAGAAAAAGAAAACAGTTAAACTGTGGGCAGATAGAAAAAATCATACCAGTACAGATAAATCATAGGAGAAAGAAGAAAGAGTAGGCCTAGAATACCTGACAACATAAAATGTGTTGTTTACATTTTTCATTCTAGTGGTTTTTCAATGCCTACTGCGTACTAGTTCAGCTCTACACAAGCTAGAGGTGGCAGGAATAGAAAAACATATCCTTTTCCTTTTGGGAACAGTCTGAAAGAAAAGGAATCACCCTAAATAATTATTCTGAGACATGGACACGCATGTACTTCGTACATTACAATGCAGGTGTGTGTGTGTGTTAATAGTGAGAAACTGCCATGAAAAGAAAAATCAATAGTGTCAGGAAAATCAGTAATTTCTAGGAACTGTTGCTTAGGCACAGCCCCACAAAGGGGGTATTAAATTCAGTTAGTGATACCAAAAGACAGCCACAGAGGTAATAGTGTTTACATGGGCAAGTCTGTGTTTGTTTATTTCATCTAGTCACCACACACATCCCATAAGCATTGACCAGGGTCCATGCAAACTGCTTTCTGTGGAGAAATATAAAACAAGGAATGGACAGAGTCCTTAGTCATAATACCCAGTCTAGGCATTCAGTGGAGGAGCCCTCCCCATCACAAAAAACACAACCCCTTCCAAGGTTTTTGAGAACAAAATTTGTAGAAGGGAAATCTCCAAGTAGGAGGGACTAGGAGCTCCTTGCAGGTGGGTATAATTATTGATCGTATGATTTTGCAAAACTAATTTGCTTAATTGAGGAAGGGAAGTATTCTAATATTTACTGAATGCTTATTATGCAAAAGGCACAACCTCAACATTTTTCTAATTCAATACAACAACCCTGAGAAGCAGGTATCATGACCCCATTTTTATAGAGAGAGATAAGCAGAGGCTGCATTATAAAAGTGGCAAGAGTTGTGGTGTTAATAGCAGCTGAAAACCAGTATATTCCTCCTGCCTGACTGTACCCCAAGCACTCTACAGGTATTAACCACTTAATGCTCCCAACAGATCCAACAATTCTGAGACAAGGAGACTGAAGCTGAGTAGCCTAAGTTGCAGAGGTAGTGAAGCCGGGTGTTGAAACCAAGCAACTTAACTCCAGAGACTAGGTCCTTAATTGCAATGGTTTAAACTTGGTAAAATCTGCAAAGGACATTCAGAAAACTCTAGATCAAATTGTTACAGATTCTAAACATGTGAGTTCTTTCTTTCCTTTGCCTTTGTGGAAAAGAAAGGAAAGGAAAGAAAGGTAACTGATAATAGAGCTCTAGGAAAGAGGTCTCCAATCAGGGGTGATTTTTCCCAGCAGGGAACATTTAGCAATGTCTGCAGACAATTTTGTTTGTTACAGAGAGGGAATGCTATTGGCATCTAATGGGAGAGTCCAGAGATGCTGCTAAATGTACTGCAGTGCACAGGATAGCCTCTTATAGCAAATACTTATCCATAGTAAAATGTCAATTGTTCTAAGAGAAAAGCCTGCTCTAGAACAGTTAGGAGGATTTTGGGATCTGGCCTGGAAGTTCAAAAATTGTTGACCAAAGCTCATTGTTGCTTATGGATAAAATTGGGATGATGGACTAGGTTTCCTCCAGTTGTAAAATCTAGTTTCATAGACTTTTGAGACACCAAACAACACAAGCTCTGTCTACAAGATGACAAAACAGGGAAAACATGAAAAAATTCTCTTCAAGGGAATGTTTTCAAATGCACCTGGAGTCTCGTTTTATGTCAGGTTATGGTGAAGTGAACAGATCAGGAGATGATTGTCATTAAAAAGGTAATTTTCTACAGCTCCCAAGAGGAGGAGGCATGCCACACCATGCAAGGCCACACAGGGAAGGAAGCACCAGGGTTGGTCAGAAGGCAGAATGAATGAGGAGAAAGCATAGGCAAAAGCTTTTACTATAATTTTTGTGGGAAAGATTGGGTAAGGCACAGCTGAGCAGGTTTAGGATTGGATAGTAAGAATAATTTTGGTGGGCTTTGAGCTATAGGTGTGGTCTCTAGTTGTCTGGAACCTGTCCCTGGGGTGATTATGGCAGAGGGATATTGTTCTGGACTGATATAGGGAGGAAGATGGGGGTATGGACTCAGGATTGGTTGGTTTTCACACCAAAGACATTATTCCCTGCAAGTTGTTCACCATCTTTATGAATTAGCAAACCTAAGAGGGACAGTCCCTTCCCAGGACTCCAAGGCCTCAAGATGTCAAAGCATCATAAAATATAGAAAACAGATGCAATATATCATATCTTCACTAAAAGCTCATCTTGAATGTTTCAGTTTAACAGTGTTAACTTCTTATGCTCAGCTCCAGAGAGAAGCTTTGGGATGGGCGCTGCTATACTCTGAACACATTTGATTCATCGCTAAGGAATCTGTAAAACCTGGAGTGAGCATCCTGGAAATGATGAAGTTTAAGGCCATAGATAAGATGGGTCCCTTGGCATAGCAAGGAATGCCAGCATGAGCAATGAGGAAAATATTTTCTTGGCATAGCTCCCTGACACCCACCTGTAGGACCTAGGACAAGCCCTGAATTCTAAGCTCTTTCATACCTTTACCAAAAACTATGGGCAGTGGATCTCAACTCAGACCACATGTCAGACTAGCCTGGAAGCCTTAAGAAGGACAGTGCTCAAGGGCCCACTCCCAGGAATTAGATTCAGGGAAACCGGAAACACAGATCACCCATAGATTGCACAACTCTGCTGGTGATTCTGAAGGACATGCAGATTAGGTCCACAGTCTGTCACATCTCTGACTTGCCGCACATCCACAACACTTTGATGACCCTCTACTCCTGTCTCAGTGACCCAACGGTGTCAAACAGCTCCAACATTCTCTCATATTCTCAACTCATTAGAGAATATTGGGAAATTCATTTTATTTATCTTCATTCTCTCCATCTAAGTCATTTGCTATCTCAAGCACAGAAATATAAGCTAGAAATCAAAATATTCTCTGGGATTTGGGATCCTAGAACCAAGGAAGCCACCAGGCCACAAATTCTGGGAATTTGCCTGGTGGGCAGATCTCTCTGGCTCTCTTGCAGTGGTGTGTTTGGTCTGAGCTTGTCCCTCATCCATACCTTCTAAAACTGCCTTTGGGTGACTTCTTTCTCATCATAGCTTAACTTGACATTCATTGAAATTGACTTTACCTGAACAAAAGTAATTCGAGAAAGGAGAACTTTAAGGACCCCAGATACTTCCAAGGGAAACTACTGAAACTGGTTTACCTACTCCTATTATGAAGTTCACAGGTTTATACTTATAATGAGGCTTATTCTCTATCAAAAAAGTTCATAAGGGATCTTCTTACTAAGGTAAAAAGACTGCTATAGCAAATCCATTGAAATGAGGTAATATTATGAGGATAAGGACAACATACTGCCAGAAATCTGCTGAAGAGCAATTACTGCTTCTGAGCACAAAGGGCATGTTTTAGGACTCCTGGGGGTCAGGATGACAAGGTCAAGATGGTACTGCACAGCTGCACTAGCTAATAAGATGCACCCTGTCAGCCACTGTCATGGGCTCTCAGCTATTTCTAAGAAAAATTCATCACATGGATCCTCGTGTATCTACAATGAGAATTTTGAACCATATAATTCACATATTTGTGGATCTAGTTCTTAGATTTGGCATGAAAGTGTTTGTCTTAAAAAATTTGTTTTGTGTGCATATTTACTTATGTGTTTATTATTGGAAACATTGCTAAGTGTGTATATTTCTCAAAACATGGGGTGTTCTAATGCATTGTGGTTATTTTCTAGCTTTTTAAGATGGAAACTTTGATCATTAGTTTTCAGTCTTTCCTCTTTTTTTATAACACATATATTTTGTGTTTTAAGTTCCCCTCTGGCTGCATGCCAAGTCTTTTATAGTAGTTTTTCATCAAGAAAAATGCCAACCCTATAAAAATTTGCAAGACCTCCCACAGCCCCTGTGCCAGCTTACTTAATTGTTGACCTTTGCTGTTTTCATCCATCACCCTCTCCCTAACTCAGAGTGGATGCTTCTGAGCCCTTGGTGAGTTGGTTTTCTTCCTCCCCACAGTGAGCCTTGGCAGGAGGCAGGCAGCAGGCCCTGGAACCACTCCTCCACTGTCAGCTTTATCCTCACAAGCCTTTTTAATGAGAGCCCGATGGACCTGTTCCTCTTCAGCATGGTTGTGATAATCTACACACTAGCCATGGCTGGCAACACTGCCATGGTCTTCCTGATCTGGGCTGATACCCAGCTCCACACACCCATGTATTTCCTCCTCGGCCAGCTGTCCTTCCTAGACATCTTCTTCACCTCAGTCACCGTCCCCAAGATGATAGCAGGCTTCCTCTTTGGCTGGACTAGCATCTCATTTGTGGGCTGTGGGGCACAAATGTTTTTCTTCATGTTTCTTGGGGCTGCTGAGTGCCTCCTGCTGGCCCTCATGGCCTATGATCGCTATGTGGCCATCTGCAACCCTCTGCGCTACCTGTCACTCATGAACCATCAGACCTGTCTGCTCATGGTGGCCACCTCCTGGCTGGGAGGGTCCATCAATGCCTCCATCCAGACAGCACTGACCCTGCAGTTCCCCTATTGTGACTCAAGGAGGATTGCACACTTTTTCTGCGAGGTGCCTTCACTGCTGAGACTAGCCTGTGCTGACACAGCAGCCTATGAGCGATTGCTCTTTGTAACAGGTGTTGTGGTCCTTCTGGTGCCCATTGTCTTCATCACCACCTCCTATGCCCTCATTCTGGCAGCAGTGCTTGGGATGCACTCCGTGGAGGGGCGTCAGAAGGCCCTAGCCACCTGCTCCTCCCACTTAACAGTTGTCAACCTCTTCTATGGGCCCCTCGTGTATACCTATATGTTACCTGCATCTTACCACTCTCCTGGCCAGGATGACGTAGTGTCCATCTTTTATACAGTCCTCACACCCATGCTGAACCCTGTCATCTACAGTCTCAGGAACAAGGAAGTGACAGGAGCAATGAAGAAGGTCATAGGGAAGTGTGGGGTGGGGAGGACTGCTTAAGACTCAGGAGAGGGGGTCCTCCTCCAGGATGTCCCTGTGGCTCCAGGAGCCCATTCTAGGATTTCCTTCTGAGATGAGAAGTCAAGAGTCCCAAATCTACATGAAAGGAAGTAAAAGAGGCCGCCCCTCCTTCCCTTCCAGCTGCTGCCCTCCCCTTCAGAGAGTTATCCAGATCGTCAGTTTCCACTTCTCATTCCCCTCCTCCACCTCAACAAACTCCAGTCTGGCTTCTGTTCCAGACATCCCTTGCTACTTTTAGCAATCAGTCACCATCTCTGTGTCACTAAATGTCCAAGAACATCTCTTCTCTCCAAAGGGCCCCCAAAGCCCTTCATCTATGGCTATTTCCCCAAATTTCTCCTTTATCCCTCTCCTCCAGCTGCACTGGCCCTCTTGTTGTTGATCAGAATATCTAAGTGCAATTCTAGCTTGTGGTCCTTCAACACAGGGTTCCTGATGCCTGGATGCTTTCCTCCACATTTTTGCATGGCTTTCTTCTGCACTAGATTTAGGAACTTTCAAATGTGATTATATCAGAGATGCCTGCACTAGTCACCCTGTCCAAAATGGTATCCTTACCGGAGTCCACCATCTCTTTCTAATTTAATTTGTGTATTCTATTTTTCTTTTTCCCTTTAGAATGTGCAATTCAGGGGATTTGAGGCTTTGACTTTTAGTATTGTACCCTCATCGATAAATATTTGTTGAATGAATGGACAAGCTGAAGATTTCTTACTTAATTCCAACAGCATTTTCACTGTTGTTAGTTTCCTTGAAAATCTTTCTTCCTTTGGTGGTGACACCACGTTTCTGGTTTTTCTCCTACTCTGGCTCACTGCTTCACATTAAGTGATAACCTGGTGCTAGACCTTTCTTTTCTCAGTCTACAGTCTCTCAAGTCACTCTCATTCATGATCATGGTTTCAAGTTACTACCTAACACCAAAGTCTGTCATACATATTATAGGCCACAACATGTCTCCTCCAAGCTCTTCACCACCCAGCTCCACCTCAATACCCACACTGGATGTTCCAGAGTCATCTCAAATTCATCATGCCAACAAACAAAGTCATGATATCCCCTTCAGGGCTGGTAACTGAGTGAATGCTTCACCAGGTCAGCAGGTTTCTGTCACCACCCACATCTAGTCCCTCACTAAATCCTGTCCATTTGACCTTCACTCCTTACCTTTCCATGAGATGCAATCCTTGGGGTTGCAACTACCACCATCATAGTCCAAAGACACAGTCATTCTTTACTTGGATGATGCAGGAATTTCCAAACAGTGTTCTCTGCCCTCTCTCACACTACCCCACATACACAACCACAGTTTTTTTCCAGGATGTGTCTGCAAACACAAATCTAAGCACATGCCACCAACTCCACTCATTAACTTCCCCTTAAATCCCCTTAGCATTTCCTATTGCTCTTACATATATCACTGCCTAACATAGAAGGCAGCAGGGAGGCAGGGAGGGAGGAAAGAACAGTCCCTGATTGCAGTCTATTACCTCCAAGTTAGACCATAATTTATCATCTTGAGTCTTTGATTATAGAAGGCAACCATCATAAGAGATGCCAAAATCACTTTCTGTTTTCTTAAGACATCCCTAAAAGTCTTCAAAGGCCAAAAGTCATCCTTAAAGTTCAATCTGCATCTTTTTACTGAAGCTGGATTAATTTTCTCTAAATTGACTCTTCATAAAAATCAAGAACAGCATAGGGAATTGCATTCTCACCCAAACACTTCCACCACATTCTCTCTCCAAAGGAAGAATTTACTCGGGGAAAAGTGAATTCTATTCCAAGGGGCTGTGTGGTCAAAATCTTATAAGTACATGCCCACCATCTGATTCCAAAACAGGATTCCTACACCACTACAGTCCCCCACCTCACACTCCATAAGCATGACTTACACATCCTTTGACTCCTTAGCACTTACCCAAATAAAGAAGAAAGCCATCATTCACAATTAGTAATGCATCTGACCTCATGCCTATTAAACAGGTGAGCAAGCTTTGAAAAATGACAGGTAGGAGATAATCTGTCTATTCATCCCTTCCTGTGATACACGGAGCAAGTTGTCCCCTAATATCCAGTTATACCTTCTTTAAAAATATACCCAATTTTAACTGAGCAGATACTGCCTAAAATAAATATATTTCCCAATCACCAATGCAGTTAGGTATGGCAACGTACCTAAAGTGTGGCCAGTGGCCCATATGCATAAATGTATGTGCCTTCCAGCAGTGTCCTTAGACATGGAGGCAGAATCACCCTCTTCACCACTCTTTCTTATTGGCTGACACATAGTCATAACAACCAGAGATCTTGCAGACAGCTTGTACAAGAGGTAGAAGCCAGCAAATGAGAAGAGCAAATTAACAATAGAGAAGGAAGGGAGGAGCAAGATGGTGGAAGAGGAGGAGAACTAAATTTCGTCTGGTCCCAGGAATTCAGCTAGATAGGGATCAAACCATTCTGAACACCTATGAACTCAACAGGAGATCAAAGAAAAGAATAGCAGCAACTCTCTGAACAGAAAAGCGACCACTTTCTGGAAGGTAGCACATGTGGAGAAGAGAATCCGAGGCAATATTCAGGAAGATAGATGGCGGGGGAGGGAGCCTCTGTCAGCCACTACTGGGAACTGATAGAGCAGCAGAACACAAAATCGGAACTTTTAGAAGTCGGGTCCACTGAGGGACGTCGCTCCAGTGGCTAAGTGGGGTGTGGAAACCTCACGGAACACTGTGGTCTCAGGACCCTCAGGGTCACAGAAAGAACGGGGGTGCCTGAGTGCGGCAGAGCTCCCAGGTTTCAGAACGGGGAAGCCGGCTGCAGAGACAGAGCCAAAGGTGCAGGCTCTCAGCTCAGGGTTGCCATAAACCATGATCCGTGGCACAGTCGGGCCACTGCTCCTCCTGCAGGGACCCAACAAGCGGCAGATCCGGGGAGACCCCCCTTCCTCCCCCGGGGGGAGCTGCGCGGGAGTGCACCGCAGGGATCTGCTGGGTTTGGAGACTCCACACTGAGTCGGGTGCCAGAGATAGAAATGCTCGGTCACGGGCCGGGTGAGCACGGAGTGCGGCTGGAGACCGGGGAGACGGGAGTGATTGACTGCTTTTCTCTGGGGGTGCACTAAGGAGCGAGGCCCCGAGTTCTCGGCTCCTCTGGGGCAGAGATTGGGAGGCCACCATTTTCACTCTCATCCTTCAAAGCTGTACCAAGAGCTTGCAGGGAACAAAACCTCCCGAGAGCAAACCCCAGCAGATTGCTTAGCCTGGACTGACAAGGGCGGGGCAATTCCGCCTCTGGCAAAGACATTTGGGAACCACGGCAACAGGCCCCTCCCCCAGATGATCAGCAAGAACAGCCAGCCAAGACCAAGTTTACCCTTCAATGAGAACAGCCAAACTCCAGCGCTAGGGGAATACTGCACATAGAATTCATGGCTTTTTTACCATGATTCTTTAGTTTTTCAAAGTTAATTTTTTTAACCGTTTTTTTATTTGAATTTTTCTTTTTCCCTTTTTCAACCAAATTCTTATCAATCCCCTTTAAAAAAAAATTTTTTATTTTTCATTTTTAGAGTCATATTATATCCCTTCATAGTAATTACCCTTATTTTTGGCATATATATATAAGTTGTTCTCTAAAATTTTGAGATACAGTTTCTTCTAACAGATCAAAATATACCCTAAATCACTAGTGTATGGCTTTGTTCTAGTCTCCTGCCTGATCACATT